GACAACCTTCCAACTGTCAGTTCCGCAATTGCCACGTCAATAGTTTCCATGCCATCCATGACGTGGCGAGACTCTATCGAGTCTTTAAATGAAGGGTGAGGGGTGTAAACGAGCCGAGTCGAGTTTGAGTATTGCTGAGCTCGATTTGACTCGAAAATTTTGAAATAGAGCTTGACTCGATTCAAAAACTCACGAGCTTAAAATTTTTAAGTTCGACTCAAACTCGAAATCCTAAACTGAAACTCGTGAGTAACTCGAAAATGCTCCACATCATGAAAGACGATTGGAATCAAACGCTGTCGTTTTGACCTCTTAAATAACCCCCAATCGCAATCGTAACTCTGCTTTGTTTTCTATATAGTTGACAACCTTCCAACTGTCAGTTCCGCAATTGCCACGTCAATAGTTTCCATGCCATCCATGACGTGGCGAGACTCTATCGAGTCTTTAAATGAATGGTGAGGGGTGTAAACGAGCCGAGTCGAGATTGAGTATTGCTGAGCTCGATTTGACTCGAAAATTTTGAAATAGAGCTTGACTCGACTCAAAAACTCACGAGCTTAAAATTTTTAAGTTCGACTCAAACTCGAAATCCTGAACTGAAACTCGTGAGTAACTCGAAAATGCTCGAAATGAAAAAAAAATTCTTAAACTTAACTCGATTGAATCTTCAAACTCAAATTTGAACATGAATCTTAAATACATGAAAATCTTATTGTATTTTAAAAAAAATCAATACATAAATATTAATATTATTAATAATTTGTTTAAAAAATAAAATTTTAATCTATTATATTTTCGAGCTGCTCACGAGCTTATTGAGTCGAATATCAAGTAGCTCAACTTGAGTCGAGCTCGAGTTCGAGTCGAGTCTATTTGATCGAGTATTTATCGAGCCTTGATTAAGTCGATCTCAAGTAACTTGCGATATGTCTCGTCTCATTTACAGCCCTAGGAATGTAATCAATGTATTCCCTTGAAAAGTTTTTTTTTATAATTATAGGATTTAAATATTATTTATTTAATTAAATTAAAATAACAACAAATGTTAAATTTTTTAAATGATTAAGTTTCTCAAAATTTTAAATTTTTTGGTCCAAACACTACGCAGAAACAAGTTAAATTATAAAAATTTGAAACTTTTTGATAGGTAAACATAAATTACCATATTTTAGATATTAATCATAATAATTTATATACAACTTAAAAGATTAAAAATGGAAAAATGAAATTTAACAAAATTTAAGATATAACCTCTCGTAAATGCAATTCTTTTATCAAAATTTAAATTCTTATATATTTTAAATATTTTTATTTATAATATAATTTTGTATCTTTAAAATTTTATAATTTCAACTAACAAACAGTTAGCTTAATAAGATCTTGCAAAATCCGACTCCTTTCGGTTCTTGAATCGCTTGAAAAGTGCTCCCGAGGATCTTCTTCGAAGAGGTCTGATCGTGGGTAGTGATGATTTGGCCCCGAATTGTCTCCGGTCCCATTTCGATCCGATCTTTCCTGAGCTAATGGCTTTGGATTCGGTGTTCATTGGGTCTCCGGGCAAAGACGGATCTGGTTACTCTGTTTGATCATTGATATTTCATCCATATCCGAGTACCATGGGTTTATGTACTACAATCTTTCATCATTTGCATACAACTGTTTTGTGTTTGTGATGAACTCAAGTTTCTGCTACTGCCTGTTGCAACCGTTGTTTGCCCTTTTGGGAACCAAATGGAAATTTCTTTCAGGAAGGAGAGCAGATCATGGCCTATCTCGTTGGATGCATTTTGCTGATAGAAGTGATTTATTGAGTAGCACTAGGTTCGATACATACATGTAGATATGTAAACAAAGCAATCGTTCGTCCGAAAATTCGTTTATTTATTAAATGAATGAACGTGAACAAGATTTTATGTCTCTTTGATTAAATGAACGAACACGAATAACGAATGAATGAATGTGAACAATATTTTATGTATGTTTAATTAAATGAACGAATATGAAGAAAGGGATCGTTCGTTCATTTATGTTCGTGAACGTTTGGTAATACGTTCGTTTATGTTTGTTCATTTATGTTCGTTTACATTCGTTCTTTTATGTTCGTTTATATTCAACCCAAACTCCAAACCTATTTGAAATATTAAAATCTAATAAATTTTAACCTTAAATCTATTAATATATTAAAATCTAATTAATTTTAAAACCAAATAAAAAGTACTTAAATCAATTAAAAGAATATAAATTCTAAAATTATTTGAAAATCAATTAAAAGAATATAAATTCTAAAATTATTTGAAAAGAAAAACACTCCTCAAATATAGATTTAATTAATTTTATGTTCGTTTGTGTTTGTTTATCATTTTAACGAATAATCATAAACAAGTTTTATTTTTTAACGAATAAATAAGAAATTTTATTCATTTAATTGTTTATTCTTACTCGCTTCTTCAATTAAAATTAAAATTAAAATTAAATAAATAAATATAAATATATTTTAGTTCGTGTTCTACATGCGTAAAAGTATCATCAAACCGTTGAACTGAGATGAGATCAGTTTAACTTTTGTATATGATATATCAATGAAGTTCAAGGTACTGTTTCATCGGTCTCTTCCATGTAATAAGGAGTAGTTTAGAGGCTTAAGTTTTCACACAGGACCGTGTGAAATTATATTATATTATATTATATTAAACCACTGGAATATGTAATTTAAGTTGGTCAAGGCAAATATATGATATTTTGGTGTACATATTTAAAATTCAATCATATCGATTATTATTATTTTATTAAATTAAGGTGGTTATAAATTAATATTTGTTTTAAATATTTTCAATCACCTTATTATAGTCATTGATATTCGAACCAATTAGCTTTAAAAACAATAACGATTCCTTTAACTATTGAGATAATTTAGTTCGTGTGATTATTAATTTTTCATCTAATGGAATAAAATATATTTTTTCTACCCAAGTACGAAAAACTTGGTACGAATTATCGCAATGATTTTGCTTATCCATATTATTTTGGTTGAATTACGCGTTTAATATCTAAACTATTATTTTTAATTCGGTTTAGTATTTAAATTTTAATTTTTTTTTTAAAATTATACCTAAAGTTTATTTTTTATTTCGTTTTAGTACCCGTTAAAAATTAAAGTTAAGTTTTGAAAAAATTGAAAGTTTAGGAACTAAAACAGATCAAAATTGATAGTTTATGCACTAAATGCATTAAGTTTTTAATGACGGAGGACTAAAATGAAACAAAAACTAAACGTTAGGTATATTTTGAAAAAAATGAAGATTTAAGTACGAAAATATACTAAAACTAATAGTTGTATGAACCCAATTAGGAATATTTATGGGTAAATCTGACTCAATAAATTTCTCATTTTTAATCTAAATTTTCACTCATTTTTTTATTTAAAGAAGTTAAATTGGATTTAAAATTTGACTCAAATTTTTAGGTAAAAGTTTTTATCCGACCCAATCTAAATATAAAAAATATTTATATTTTTACTCATCAAATAGGGATCTATATTGAAGGAAAATATATTATGGAAGACTATTACAGAAATTATCCGTAATTATATAGAGAAAAATTATATTATCATTTCAGATCAGGTCAATTCGAAAATTTTCGCTTTAAATTTAAATTTATACCGACTTTCTTTTAATAAAACTTGACTAAAATCTATATTTAAAAAAATAAACTTACACTTAAAATATATACTAATTCTGTCAAAATTTGTATAATATAACTTTCTAGTTTATCAAAATTTATATAAATATTTCATGGTTTATACACCCATGGGGCTGAAGAAAGTCCATAAGAGATCGGGTCAAATACTCTGATGCAGCCCACTAAATTTGAACAACCTTACACCAGGATTGTAAATAAACCAAGTCGAGTTCGAGTTTTATTAATATGACTTTAATTTAAATTAAAATTTGAAATTCGACTCTATTCAAAAGCTCACGAGTTTAAAAATTTTAATTTCAACTCGAAATCAAAATTTGAAGCTCAACTCGAGTTCGAAAAAACTTGAACTCGAAATATTCTCATACCTATTCAAGCTCGAACTCGAGTTTGAACCTAAACCTTAAACATATGAAAGTTTGATATTATATTTTTTACATAAAATGTAGAAATGTTAATATTAATAATTTAATTTTAAAAAATTAAAAATTTAATATAACATTTTTTAGTTGCTTTCAAGCTTTGAGTCATGTATCAAATAACTCACTTCAAATCATTAAGAACTCAAGTATAATTTAAGCTCGAGTCGAGTTTATTCAATTCGAATATCGACTGAACTCTAATTAAACCAAAATCGAATAATTCGCTACCTATTTGATTTCATTTGCATCCCTACTTAAACCAAACCATGTAGGTCACCAAGGCCACGTCTTTCATGTAATGATAGTGTGTTAAACGAGGGGCATGCAAATCAAACCATCAGTTCCTCCGCAACAGACGGTGAAAAGAAAGACTCACACTCATACCTAGAAAAGCACGAATGGGGTCCCCCAAACCAAGCACGCTCTCTTTAAATTCTAAGTTCAACTAGTAAAGCAAATAAAATCATCATAAGAGTAGGAGTGCGATCCCGCCATTAAAATTAAAACAAAAGTATATGATATAGCTACACAGCTACCGGGAAGGAAAAGAACCTGTTTTCTAGGTTGTAGCAGAAGTGTATCATTCACTGGTAAAGTTCTGTCTGGTTTTATAGATTGTTATTATTTTCATTTATTTCCTTAACTTTGGTTGGAATAGTTGCTTTATTGTATCTTGTTAGTTGAAACTTAGTTTCCAAGTGTCATGCTTGCTGCTGATTGATTCCTGGTGGTTCTTATTTTACAATTCTCTAGGTTCAATGTGGTGTTCATTTTGACTCTCTTGGGGGGGGGGGGTGCCTTGAGCTTAAAATGCTCAAGAGACATAGTATTTGATTATTTTGGTTGATGCAGATCACGGCGTGCTCCCTCGGTCCGATCTTGGTCACAGATTTAATGGCTCCGGCAGTGATACCCGTGTCTCGAAAACCATCCAATTATGATGAGATTTATATGCAGCAGAGCTTGTTGTTCTCTGATAGTCTCAAGGTCCTACTAATTGCAATGCTTGTTCTATGTTTCTCAAAGTAGCTTAGTTCCCATTGGCATTTTTCAAGTACCTGTTTCCGACACCGAAAGTCGTTCCCGAGCACGGCGATCATGGTTTTCTTCTACGGTTTCGTTTTATGACACGGTTTCTTTGCTTCAGGATTTGAGAAATCTAAGATCACAGCTCTACGCAGCAGCTGAGTATTTTGAACTGTCCTACACCAATGATGACCAGAAGCAGATGTGAGTAACTCGAATTCTTCGTGATTCATACCTTAAATCGTCGATATTGCCGTGCAATTACTTTCATTTTTCTCCTGTTGTCGTTTGAAAAGTATAAGATACATGTATATGCAGAGTGGTAGAAACATTGAAAGATTATACCTTCAAAGCACTTGTGAATACAATAGATCATTTAGGTTCCGTGACATACAAGGTTAACAATCTTTTGGATGAACAAGTTGAAGAGGTTTGGGGAACCGAGATTCGAGTATCTAGTATCGAACAGGTTGGCTTGGTTCATCAGTCAAATTCTTTCTTGTTGGTTGATGTTGACCCTTGCTTAGTATACTGAAATTTGCTGTATGGTAATTGTAGAGACTACGGACATGCCGAGAGTGTATCGATCGTGAAAGGATTTCCCGGCAGTCACTGGTGATTAATACTCCGAAGTACCACAAACGGTACATCTTGCCAGGTAATATACCCTGCTCTAATACAGAGACAAATAATGATATGTAGTTGTTTCCAATGTCCTAGAGTGCTTTTCAGTCGGAGAGACCATGCACGGTGCGAACCGAACAAAGTCGAAATACCTCGGATGCAGCCTAGACGACGAAGATGACTGGCATCAGTTGAGGAATGGTAGTTGCTCTATCTATCCTTCTATCATCCTTTTTACGTGGGGACAAGATACATATCTAACTTGATCCTACTTGTAACGACTCCTCTAAGCTGTCCAAGCATCGATTCGAGAAACACCGACATCTTCAGTTCGGGAAACCCTGACACCTTCAATCAGGTAAGGATTAAAATTGCATCATAAATAACCCTAAGGTACTCAGTTGTGTAATTAAAAGTACTGGTACCTATTCAAGTAATGACAGTTTCAGAAAAGGACGTTCACCGTCCCCGTCCCCGCAGCCTCCACAGCGATCTTCGACCTTTTCCTTTACTGTCACGACACCGAAGAAAGAACTAGGTTGGATGCGTATTTGACTTCATTATTTGAACTGTATTTGTATATATCGTCACTGATGATGTTTAAACGTATAACCAGAGAAGCGAACGGTATCACCGCATCGATTCCCGCTTTTACGCTTGGGGTCTATGAGCAGGCCTGCATCGCCAAATAAGAGCCGGCCTACTACTCCGAATTCAGCTGGTGCAAGATGGCGGGTGAGCATAGAACAGTTTAATCCATATGCACATTGGCCGTTAACTCGAATAACATCAAACTAACATGTGAATGAAGCACTGCAACACATGGTTAAAAGTGTCCCAATGCTGAAAAGGATTGATACAACGTTAATGATGCTTTTGTTGTTTCTGGCAGTATCCATCGGAGCCCCGAAAATCAGCCTCGATGCGATTTCAAACCGAGAAAGACACCGAGCAAGTCCCGAGCAAAAGCAAAAGACTACTGAAAGCATTGCTTAGTCGTCGCAAATCGAAGAAGGATGAGATGCTGTATAGTTATTTAGATGAATACTGAGAAAAAACAAGCAAGCTACATGGATGATAGGCGGCCAAAGAGATGGCCAAGAGGTTTCGTTCTTTTCACTTTCACTTTCCTATAGAGAGATTCCACAGTGTATTAGGCTTACCATCATATTTCGGCCTACGAGCTATATTGTAAAAATTCTAGTGTTAGCCAATTATTCTGGTCTTAAATAGATGTAATTTAAGTGTTGTTTCGATCAGTATCGGATCTAAAAACTTAAAAATGCGGGACCAAAACTTTTAATACTCTTATTTTCAATATAATGGGTATGCAAAATTTCTTTTTTTTTCTTCTTCTTTTAATATATTGAACTATATTGAATATCTAAGCTAAAATAATGGGTGTGCATTTGACTCCTTAAGTGACCATATGCATCCGCCCCTGGTTTCGATCTATATCGTTTGATGCACCATTTTAAATAGTCAAGGGACTAAAATAAAAATATAAAAATAAATAAGATATCAAATACATAATTTATCCTAAATCTTAACTACGACATTGAAATAAAATGAAATAATGGAGAGATCCAAGGGAATAGCATATGTGATAAGGATATTCCAAATCAGGGGTATCTTATTTAGGCATAATATTAGAGTCCTCTTTCCTTTATTTTACATATCCCTCTTTCCTTGTCTTTCTCCCATACTGGAAAGTTTGCTCGGTTGTTCATCATAAGAAAGATTTGTGGGATTGTCTCAGGAAAGGCTGGTTAATATACGGTTAATATACGGTAGTATCGGATACATTAAAATGTATTTAATAAATTCGGTTTAGCGGTACCTATTATGTTGACAACTAATAATGTTTTAGGTAGAAAATATGAAAAACTATTAAAAATTTTGGTAACCGGTAAACTTCGGTTTTCGGTAAGTATCTATCCTTTTTATAAAAGTGTCCATACTTTTAACATATCAAGTAAATTTTACCGGTTTTGTCATAATGAATCTGGTTTTGTCATATTTTTACCTGTTATATTGTAAAGTATCTATCCTTTTTATAAAAGTGTCCATACTTATTTCACTGTGAAAATATATTTATTATTATCTTTGGTTAATATTGTTAAATTTAAATTCTAAATAATATTTTATAAAATATCAAAACAATCAAATAATTTTGTGTGTAAATGAAATTATTAAATTAATATTTGTAGGTGGAAAACATGAAACACTATTAAAAAAATTGAAACATAAATTACATAACTTTAAAAAAAGTATATATCATTTTTAAAAAAGTGTCCATACTTATTTCACTGTGGAAAACATATTTATTATTATCTTTGGTTAATATTGTTAAATTTAAATTCTAAATAATATTTTATAAAATATCAAATAATCAAATAATTTTTTTGTGTAAATGAAATTATTAAATTAATATTGTTGGTGGAAAACATGAAACACTATTAAAAAAAATTGAAACATAAATTACATAACTTTAAAAAAAGTATATGTCATTTTTATAAAAGTGTCCATACATATAAAAGTAGGAATAAGTCATGAAGAAATATTAAAACGATATACCAGGTAAAAATATGATAAAACCGGTAACAAAATGATAAAACCGGTAAAACGTTACCGGATATATTGAAAGTGTCGATACTTTATATAAGGATCGACACTTTGTGAATTTAAAAGAGAAGCAGTTTTAGCGCTTATAATGTGTCGATATTTTAAAAAAATATATCGATCCACAACGATATAACATGTAAAAATATGATAAAACAGGTATCAAAATGATAAAACCGGTAAAATGATACCGGATATATTGAAAGTGTCGATACTTTCGTAAGTACGTGTAATAAATTATCGACACTTTCAAAGAAATAGGTAATTATCCTTTCGAAAGTATCGACACCTGACATAAAAGTATCGACACTTTTGTATTTGTATCGATTAAATATAAATAACATATCCGATCAAAATATAAGCTAAATCTCCTCTGAAAATAGATAGAACGGACGAGTTTTTGAAAGCGAAGCGTAATTGTTGCTGCATTTCAGAAGGCGTTTCTAAAGCGAAGTTTGTTTGTTTGTTGCTGCAGTCGAATCGAAAAGTATGTTGTCGAAACCTTAATTTTTTATTATTACAGTAATCGCGATAGGGTTTTTATGTGTTGTTTGGGGTTTTGTAGTAAAGAAGCATTTGGGAACGATTGCAGGTAGAAAGTGATATTCAAGGAAAAATATAAATGTCGATACTTTTATTAAATATTATAGGTAGAAAATGATATTATAGGTTGTATAAAATGTGTCGACACATTTTGGTATGGCCATTCAAATTCTTTTGAAGTAGACTGTTTTACCACAAAAGTAGTTATCTATATTTGTATATTGAATAAAGTGTATGTAACAAAATAATTTGATTTGCTTAAACTGATATATGAAGGAAAAATGGAGTCAATGGGTTGGAAAATTATTGGTGGAGCAGATGACTTTGAAATTGAGGCCGAGACTCGAAAGCAACCCAAGGGTGGATATATGTACTTCTAGTAAGTATCAATGTCTTTTTGTTATTATTGTTGAAATGGTAATTGGATTAAAGTATCGATAAACTTTAAATTGATTACAAATTTTAAATGTTGACAGTATGACCGAATGCAAAAGGATGAAGGAAGATGGCACACAGAGCGGTTCGGTATGTAAAATGAAATTGACATTGACATTGAGTAGTATTTAGTGTTAATGTATTGATTAAGAAATGTTTATGTTTTATATTAGGTGACAAAAGATGTGAGGTCCAAATGGAATTCAATGAGTGATGCTGAAAAGAAACCTTACATCACACAGTCAAGGAATGATAGTAAAGAATACAAAGAACGGAGGAAAGCACATGAAAATAAGGTATTCATTAAACTTGTAAATACGTTGATACAAAATATATAAGAACTATAACATTATATATTGTTAAAAATGTAGGAAGTGTCGACAAGATGCAGTATTAAAAGGGTGAATTTATTAATTAAACACCTAAAGGAGAAGGGTCAGTTGAATGTGCTGGGAGAAATAGGTTTTGGATCGTTGGTAGGAGTAAGGGATCGACCTATTCGGAGGGAATTGTGTCGATCCTTGATGGCGCAATTTGATGTCAGGCAATATATTGCTAAATATGGTGATTTTTCATTTCCTCTCGGGATCCCATGTGCTGCAACCGTATTGGGGGTAGAAAATGAAGGCAAAAGTGTTGTAGAAGTCTGTCAGAGTAAGGACTGGAAAGCACTTGCCTCCAAATATGGTTTGAAGCATAAGGTGACATATGCTGAAATTGAAGAGGAAATAAAAAGTGGATCTTACGTTGGGGATGAGCTGAAGGCCAGAGTTCTATTATACCTTGTCGGTATCTTTCTTTGTCCAATGGGTAATACGTCAACGAACAAAGAACATATGAAGCTCATTTGTGATGAAGGCTTGAAGGGTGAATTCAATTGGGCTGAATATATCCATTCGAGATTGATTGAATCAATAATCACCTTTAAAAAGGGCAGCCAGAGATACCTCAAAGGGTGCATAGCAATCTTAGAGGTAAATGAGTTGAAGAACTTTTTTGTGTTTTTATATAAAAATATAAGTTTTATTATAAATGCAGGTTGCACTGTTCGATTTTTGGTCGGGCTGTGAGGCAATACCGGCTTATGAAAGAACCGGAGTGGCACGCATCCGTGCATGGGGGAAGGAAGAGGTGGTTAGAGTGATGGTGAAGTTGAAGTTGGATAGAGCGAAGAACCAAGAAAGGGTAATAAATGTAATTAAATAATATTAAGAATATAATCAATGTCTTAATATTGTAATTTAATTTTGAAGGTTATTGGCAAGGATGTAGAGGAGGCAGAGGAGAAGAAAGGAGGGATGGTTGTATTGGGGGATGACGGTGAGTGGGACGACGGTGAGGGAAAACGTAGTAACTTCGACATTTTGATGTCTGAATTGGCTGATATCAAAAAAATCCAATTTGAAATCATGCAAAGACAATCAAGAGTCGAAGAGAAACTTGAGAGAGTCGAAGATACACTTGAGAGGCATAAGGGGGTAGTGGAAGGAAAAATAGATGGAGTGGTGAAAGAAGTAGAGGTGTTGAGGGGTGAAGTGGTGAAAGAAGTTGGGGTGTTAAGGGGTGATATTAAGATGGTGACAGGTGAAAAATTTGAGGGAGTGGTGAAGGAGGTTGTGGAATTGAGGAGTGAACTTACGGGGGTGAAGGGGGTGGTTGATAAATACTTGGATGAAGGAGATCAATTGAAGGGTGAAATAAAAGAGATGAAGAGCTATGTAGAAAAAAATACGATGAACTGAAAAAATATGAAGAAGAAAAGAGGGAGGAGGAAGAAGAAGAGATGGAAGAAGTGAGGAGGAATGAAGTCAATGTCATTTATACACCGGAGAGTGTTATAGCAGCAGATTTGGATTCGGAATGTCCTGCACCCCAGAAGAAGAAGCAGAAGGTAAGTTGAATAAAAGAAAACTTAATTTGATTTTTATTATGTTGTTGTGACAAAAATTTGTATGCAAAATTGTAGGTTGAAAAAGCGGATATTCCAAGCGGAATTGATGACATCGAAGCTGCAATTTGTGATTATTTATGGAATAGCGAGTTAGAATCGGAGTAAGTGAAATATATTGTTTTGTGAGTGATATTTAAATATTTCATGACAACATATTAATCCTAATGATTCATACAGATATTCTGTAATCTCAATGGGAAATCAATTCGCTACTGTATACGACGTTGCAACGTTGAAGCCTACGGAATGGGTTGGTGGTGTGGTAAGTAGAAAGTAGAAAATGTTAAAACTTATTGAATATGTTCTGATTGTGTAATTAATTTTGTTAGGTTATCGATTTGCTCGCCTGGACAATATGCTACGATTCTCAAAAGTCACTCCGGAGGATTGGCTACCTTTCATACCTATTAGCGGTGAGTTAAATTAATAAATGTTGAAAAGTAGTGTTATAGACGGTAAATTAATAATGTTTGTTGCGTAATTACAGCAACAGGCGTTGGATGCCAACAACAAAGAAAGTGTTGAGAGTATTTCTACATTCTGGGGTGTCATATTGGATAACTATGTGAAATTCACCGACTGTGAGAAGGTAAGACACCATACCAATTGCAAATGATGTTTTCGGATATAGAATGTTGAATTTTGTCAAATTGGGTGTGAAATTTGTTGCAGATCATGATCACAATAAACTACCATAATTCACATTGGTATCTGTTGGTGTTGGATATGGTAGATCGTGTTGCAACAATATATGATAGTATGTTTACAACTGAAGCAACTAAACAGAGAGTGAAGGATGCTAAGAGATTGGTATGTATGTATGTATGAAAGGACATTATGTAAATTATAATGCATAATTTTTTTGGTGCATAACTTCTTCTATTTTAATGCAGATTAAAATATTAGATTCTTATAATAAGAAACACATTTGGGTTGAATCCTGTGGATCTCTAGGAAAGTATCCCTTGAAAAATTTCAAATTTGTGGAGCATAAGAAGAATAAGCAATTGAATGGGTATGAGATGTTATCACAAATAGAAAGCTTAATTTATGCAGTATTCATCATAATTGACATGTGTGGTTTTCAAATCTTGTAACAGACATGATTGCGGCATGTATGTGATGATGTGGATGGAATCGATCGGTTCTACAGGGGCAACTGGTGATTTTGTAAGTGGATAGAAAAATTCGTTTGTGGTAAAATTGTTAAAAGTCGTAGATTGAATGCTGTAGTTGACAATATTTAACGTTCTGACAATTTGAATATAGGTTGTTGGAGACTGGGATCGATCGCGAATATTAAACGATCTCGTAAGCCACAATCAAAATGAACGAAGACAGGAGATATCAAAAGCTGCCATATTACATAAGAATAACAAAATGATGCAATGATGTAAATGTAGGGTTAATTTTGTATAAGATTTATAATTTTGTATACGATTTATATTTTTGTATGTGAATATAATTATGAATGAGATGAGAAAAGTTAGCAGTATGTTGTTGTACATGTTTCTTATACACATTAAGGGTCATGTTGATACTTTGAAGTATAAGGCAAATTTACAATATGGCCAACAGGGTGCAACCATAAAGTGTCGATCCATATATAAAAACTGTCGATCCCAAAAATATCGAAAACCAAAAGTATAATGTAATATGTAATTTTTCAATCTAACCGGTACAAGTATACCGGTTTTATGAGAGAATATGTCTAAATAATGTGTCGACACTATTTTAGTTTGTGTCGATATTTTTGTTCCAGAATGAATGGAAAACAGGGTGCACCCATAAAGTGTCGATCCGTATATAAAAAGTGTCGATCCCAAAAACATCGAACCCAAAAGTATAATGTAATATGTAATTTTTCAATCTAACCGGTACAAGTATACCGGTTTTATGAGAGAATATGTCTAAATAATGTGTCGACACTATTTTAGTTTGTGTCGATATTTTTGTTCCAGAATGAATGGAAAACAGGGTGCAACCATAAAGTGTCGATCCATATATAAAAAGTGTCGATCCCAAAAACATCGAACCCAAAAATATAATGTAATATGTAATTTTTCAATCTAACCGGTACAAGTATACCGGTTTTATGAGAGAATATGTCTAAATAATGTGTCGACACTATTTTAGTTTGTGTCGATATTTTTGTTCCAGAATGAATGGAAAACAGGGTGCACCCATAAAGTGTCGATCCGTATATAAAAAGTGTCGATCCCAAAAACATCGAACCCAAAAGTATAATGTAATATGTAATTTTTCAATCTAACCGGTACAAGTATACCGGTTTTATGAGAGAATATGTCTAAATAATGTGTCGACACTATTTTAGTTTGTGTCGATATTTTTGTTCCAGAATGAATGGAAAACAGGGTGCAACCATAAAGTGTCGATCCATATATAAAAAGTGTCGATCCCAAAAACATCGAACCCAAAAGTATAATGTAATATGTAATTTTTCAATCTAACCGGTACAAGTATACCGGTTTTATGAGAGAATATGTCTAAATAATGTGTCGACACTATTTTAGTTTGTGTCGATATTTTTGTTCCATAATGAATGGAAAACAGGGTGCACCCATAAAGTGTCGATCCATATATAAAAAGTGTCGATCCCAAAAACATCGAACCCAAAAGTATAATGTAATATGTAATTTTTCAATCTAACCGGTACAAGTATACCGGTTTTATGAGAGAATATGTCTAAATAATGTGTCGACACTATTTTAGTTTGTGTCGATATTTGTTTTCCAGAATGAATGGAAAACAGGGTGCACCCATAAAGTGTCGATCCATATATAAAAAGTGTCGATCCCAAAAACATCGAACCCAAAAGTATAATGTAATATGTAATTTTTCAATCGATCCATATATGTTTGATTATATTGTATGTATATTTTCATTCAGTTGAGATGGGTTATGTATAACAAAACAATCTATCTCGCATGTGAGTACTTTATTCCAACCATGTGACAAGTGTGACAACTCCATCAACTCACAACTCAGCTTTGAACTCAATCAATATTGTCTTTTAGCTTGATGGTTCATAAAGCATGTTACTTGAACAGTATGAATTAATTATGCAATTTTCATGTTCAATTTAACACTGCATTTCAAATTCATTTCATATGTAATTGGAGTTTGAATTTAAATTTCAATTTGAGTTTGAATTTCAATATATATTTCGGCTCCACTATAAATATTAGCCCAAGCCAATATGCATGTTATCATTGATTATTCATAATTTCCATTGTTTTTTTTCTAACGTTTAAACGCGAGGGAAATCCCGACCATTGTATTTTTTGGTCAACTTTAAAGCGTCAGAAACGTTTCGGGCGTATGATCTGGGTGTTATACAAGAAATGTAACAAATAGCAACTAAAATCATAAGTTGAGTACCACCCAAATCATAAGTCCGAAATACTTCCGATGCTCATCAAAATCCAAAGCTCATATGGTGCCAAGCAAAAGGAAATCAAAATCCAAATCTCATATGATGCCAAGCAAAAGGAAATCAAAATCTACAACTTGAGTTTGAACATTGATATGATATGTTCAGTTGTTATCATGTTGGGATTTTCTCGTTTTTGATTGCTTTGATAGTTGTTCTCTTGCTTCTTCAAGTGTTCTTAAGGTTATCCTTTGAGTGAGTTTTAAGATATTAATTTAGTAATTATAGGCGTCTAATGATTTATTTTTTACGTTACGATATATATTATTATTAAATTAAAAATTCTAAATAATATTTTATAAAATATCAAAACAATCAAATAATTTTTTGTGTAAATGAAATTATTAAATTAATATTGTAGGTGGAAAACATGAAACACTGTTAAAAAAATTGAAACATAAATTACATAACTTTTAAAAAAAGTATCGATCCTTTTTATAAAAAGTATGGACACTTTCAATATAATAGGTAAACATATGATGTAATAGGTAGCGCTTATATAATGTAATAGGTATCGTTTATATAATGTAATAGGTAGTGGTTATATTGTAAAGTGTCTATCCTTTTTATAAAAGTGTCCATACTTTTTTCACTGTGGAAAACATTAATTTAAGGTTATCTTTTGAGTGAGTTTTAAGATATTGTAAAGTGTCTATCCTTTTTATAAAAGTGTCCATACTTTCAATATAATATAATGTAATAGGTAAATTTGCAATGCTATCGGTATAAATATACCGGTTTACTTATAAAATAGGTAAATATAAGCGCTACCTATTACATTATATAAGCGCTACCTAGTATGTTATTGTATTTTATAATATTTCCGGTTAAATAATATAACATAACCGGTCTAAATTTTAACCGGTCACTTGTTTAACCGGTCACGCCGTATATTAGCCGTTTTTTAGGCGCCGCACCGCAGAACTACCCAAGATTTGTATGAAACAATGGCAAGCAGGGATGGACTTAGCAAGCGAGCGACGCTCCCTAAAAATTTCAAATTCTTATAAATCTAATTTCACTCTCTAAAATTTTATAAATTATTCAGTCCTTAAAATTTTGTAATTTCGTCTCTCCTAGCATAAAATTCTATGTTCATCCCTGGTGGAAAACAATTTCAGTTGCATCAACAGCCAGAGTCACGTTCTCTTTTCTTTTTTTATTTCTACCTTTCTTTATAAATTTAAATTTCACTTAATTTTAAAAATTTAATTATTATTTTTTTAAAAATTGTGTATGATATATGTATATACATACAATGTGTAACTTGGACTTTTATTTCTTTTAGTGTTTTTTTTTAACAAAAGAAACTCTTTTATCTTTAGAATCAATTCTTATATCTTGAATTATAATAACTTGTCTTTTGGTTAAAATATATACTGCATGTTTGATCCTTACTTCTAAATTTTAATCATATGTGAATTTATTTTATTCTAAAAATAAATCAATATTATTTGAAAACAAATACATTGAACTATATGCTTGCTAACAACAAAATAACTTCAATTAATATTACCGCTGACATATGTTAATATTGAAAACTTTATTTTATTTGAGTAAATTGAATTTCAAAAATTAAAAATAAATTTGATTCTAATCCCTCCATTTTTTTAATTTTAAATTTGATTACTTAAAAATTAAATTGATGAGTGGAAATCAAGGAAGCATCAAGCAGGAGGCAACTCTTTACATTTTAGTTAAAAGAAATGTAATCCGTTTTATGTAAGAAAACATTTATTCATCTTATACTGTGTTGGTTAATATGAAATTCATCTCCTCAGCTTCATATGGTACACAGAATCAAAGGGCAGGCAGGCAGGAAAGAACATGTTCATCGCACACATCCACCAACTTAGCCTTCTCTTCCACCTTCCACCTGTTGGTTTGGCTTATATATTAATATGGTTTGCATGATAACATACCACGTAGATGGGGGGTAGTGTCATAGTGGTGACAAATTTATGAAACCTGCAAAAACAAAAAAAAAACAAAGAAGATTCGAGCAAATCAAGTCGAGTCTGGGTTTATTCCACACTAAGGCTTTGGGCGGAAAATTTGTTAATCAAATGGTTATGAATATCGACTATTTGATTAACAATTTTCTATCATTGCTCATTTCCATCCTTCGTACCAAGTAAAACCTAAAACTAGTTTTAGACCCTAGGTAAAGATGCACAGAATTTACCAGTTCACAAAATGGGACTATTTTTGGGTAGAAGCTTCAACTCTAGTTGGTTTTAGCCTCTGTAAAGCACTTCTTGCATACTTCAATGCCATCATAAATAGACTGAATATATATAATATGTAAACGAGAATCTTTGCCAAGATTCTGTTGGTTTCCCGTTCTACGCTTGTTGTGCTTGACGCTTCTGTTACACCTCAACCCAAATAAAGTAAGAGCCCAAGTTAGACATTACAAACACAAGTAGATTAGAGAGGAATACTAAAATTTACTGCATTGAACTCAATCTGATGATCTGGTGCAGGAGAAAAGAAATTTCAAATTTAGACAAGAACACACACCGGAACTTTTCTTGGGGAAATTGTTCCAGTCATGCGGGCTCATCTTCATTTCCGATGCCTTTACCAAGTCGAGAAGAGCTTGATTAACCTGAAAATTAGTGAATAATTCAGTCTAGTAAAGGTTCTTGCCTCAGGCAAATACAATAAATTAGAACCAATGAATTTTATCAGTACTGAGATACAGTTTATGTATCTACTAATAATGGAAGGTACCCACTTTGTAAGTTATTATTCCACTCTCATGCATCAACTAATCATTCATTCACATGCCAGAATATTACTTTCTCCACTCAATTCTACAAGCTCTACATGTTCTTTTGTTAACATTTTCACGTATGAAGATTCTCAGGGTGAATGCCCCTGATGCCTACATCAAATGACACTTTGATGACGAAAAATTACCTCTTCTGTTCTCTCATGAGCTACCAGATGTCCCCCATGAAACTCTAACATTCTAGCAACAGGTTGCAGCTTCTGGGCAAGCCTCCTTGCATGATTTATTTGGGCAATGACATCTTGCCTGCACATTGAGAAAATGTTACATTAGCAGATTGTAATGTGTTTCTAAAGAGATCATCATCATGATGCACAAAAGAAATTAGGATATTGCTGTTTATTTCAGATATAGAACACCACAATCCCTATCAGACTTGTTTGTATATATGAGGAGAGATCTACCTACCCTCGTGTAAAACAGAGTTTTACATACCTTCGTAAGTTTTTCTACAATTGATATTTTAACCATCCAACTGTTGAATTTCATTTTTCTATTCCCATATATTATGCATGTCTAGTTTTAATTAAATTGAAAATATCTAACAATTTATTTTATGAAAACTTTTCAGCTGTTAAATATATTAATGGATACTTTATTTTGGATCGACATGACAAAGATGTTGAATTATTCGAAAATTTATAGGCATAATAAGTATAATTGTCGTAACCGGTTTTCGTCTGGGCACGAATTTTTTACTTGGCGAAAAAAGTGATGTGAATAAATGATTTTTAAAATAATTTGGGAGTCGCCATCGGCCTTTTGGATCAGGTAGGCCGAATACCTAAAAATCATCATTTAAAAGAGTTTTTAAGAAAACATTGATTAAAAGATAAACTGATCTGCGTTTTAACCAAAAATTCATTATTTTTAATAATAAAAAGGGATTCGTGGTCGATTACGTTTAGGGAAGGATTAGCACCCCTACAACGCCCAAAATTGGCACTTTTTAATTATAAATTATCTCTATTATTAGAAATTTAAAAATTCAAAATATATTTAATTTATAATCCTATTATTTCAAAATTATAATTATGAAAAAATATTAATAAATAAAATATTAACTTATTTAGAAATATCAGAAAAGGACTTCTAGGTGCCTTAAGACAACTCTTTTCTTCGATATTAAAAAATAAATAAATAATTAAAATATATAATTTATAAAATAGATATTTAGTAAAAATATCAGAAAACGGACTTCTAGGTGCTTTAAGACATTCATTTTCTTAATATTGAAAAAATAAATATATATTAAAATATGATTATTAAAAGTAATTTATGAAATATAGGATTTTAACAAATAAACAAATATTATTTATTATATATATATATATAATAAATAATAAATAATAATAATAATAATGAAATAATAATTAAAGCAATAAATAATAATAATAATAATAATAATAATAATAATAATAATAAAATAATATTACAAATAATGATTAAAATAAAAGGAATTAAAAATATAGTATTAAAATGTAAAATATTAAAAAATCATAGTCAAAAATGAAAATTTAATGATTAAAATGTAAAATTATAAAACTAGAGTACTAATTCGAAATATATAAAAGATGGGCATTAAAAGTGTAATTTAACCATAATTCATAATACGGGACTAAAACAAAAATATTAAAATTATTGAGGACTAAATATATTATTTATCCTAATTATATATGCAGTTAAGGACTAAAATAATATTAAATAAATTTAGAAGACTAAATTAAAATAATTAAAAATTGCTTTCAGTGACTAAATTGCAAGGATTACAAACTAGGATGGCTACGGAAAGGTTTTGGCCATGCGCGAAATTACAGATATACCCCTCCCAAAACGGCGTCATTTGGGAATGGGACATTATCTCATTATCTCATTTTCTTCTTTCTCTCTTCTCTCTCTAACTGAGAGAGAATTTTTAACTCTCTCGCCTCTCTCTAAAACTGAGAGAGAGACCACCGACCGACAGCCGTGCTCCGGCGTCGGCAACCACCCCTGTCGATGGCCGGAAAATTTCAAAATTCCCAAAATAAAGATCAGAACGTCCTAAAGACGAATCCGGTGTCCTTTTTCTCTAAAAAGCCTTGTAATTACCTAGATCTACAGAAATACTCTCGGTATTTCAATTTCTTTTGCGGCGTGTGGAGGTTCTGACGACGGCGTAGCTTCCTCAGTGGTAAGTTTTCTCACTCTATTCTCTCTTTGCTTTTTGATTTGTTGATGTGGGTTTTGTTTGGCTTGCTGTTGTGGTATGTTCGGGTTCTTGCTCCCGTTTCTGTTATCTCCGGTTCTTCCTCTCTGTTCGTTGTTTTTATTTTGCAGGTGAGTCGAGGCTTTTATAGCCTCGACGAAACGCTCTTCGAACCGGTCACAGAAGGGTTTCTCGGTGAGTCACCATAGCTATGGTGGTGACTCACCATAGAGCTCAACGTGAGGCGATGACGAGGCGTTTCTGGAGGCTTCGATGGGGGCGGCGTGGCATTACTGAAGCGTCGGCAACAGACGTGTGGCCTTCTGGAATCAACGGAGGCGGCTGAGGACTTCTGGAAATAGTAGAGGCGACTGGGATAGGGTTGAGAAACCCTAACTGAAACCATCTGGGCCGTTGGATCTTGCCAGATCCAACGGCTGAAAAGAGCTAGCGGCTGACTGAGATGATACAAACCTTAAATTTGGTTTAGGGTTTAGCTAGATCCAGGTTGGGCTTGTATCTGATTGGGCTTGGGCATGTAAACTGGGCCGAATTGATTTGTAATTGGGCTCCGGATTTTGGGCCTGCAATGTATTAAAATTAATTAATTATTTAATAATAATATAATATAATAATAAAACAAAATAATAATAATAAATAAAACAAATGAAATAAAAACTAGTGTCTTCAATAATGATATTGATAAATTCAACGGTTATATGATTAAAATATTAATCGTATAAAAACTTACGGAGGTATGTAAAGCTAACTTGGTTTTACAAGTTCAACTTGCAAATTGGAACCGTTAAGATCAGAAGGTTGGTTTCACAAATAGGTTGTATTTCATTTCACAGCAGACAAACCATCATAAATCACACTGAGATTTAACAGGAAATTCCCACACTGAACTTTGTTCGATAATTGAAGGTTTTTTTTATGGCTTAAAATTGTACCCACAGTTCTAATCAGAATCAATCATCACCGTTAACTAAACGAATAACTAATGTAACAATTGAGTCAAATTAACTTACCAAAATAAGGTCCATTTACACGAAAAAAACAAAAAAGGGAGCACCTACAGATTAAAGCTTATACCCCATTTTATGCAGAGAATTATTACTAGGCCTAGAAATCGCATTATCTAATTGTAATATCAGTTGCAACTAGCTGAAGCAACAATAGATTTCTGAATGAACTAGGAGGATTAACAATAGACTAATATAACCCACAAATAATGTGCCATATTCATTGAGGATAAGAGTATAAAGAAGATGATTCTATTCTCTTTCTCTCACCATATGCTAAACCTTGGAAAAAAGATAGAATCATTCTAGTATATGTGAAGTGCAACTAAAATCTAAAAACTCAATTAACAATAACTATTTATATTCGGCAAAACCATAGATTGATACATCCTATGAGAATTTGAAAGCATCAAGTATTATGAAAACTGTTCAGGGTCATAAAAATGTAGTACCTGCCATGTATGACTGATACAAGAAATCCACCCGAACGGATTAAATCAATTTCTGCTTGGGTCATTTTATGTCTCCAGCATGCATTGAGTTGACCTTCAAACCCATAGTTAGATTGCATGCCACTTGCTGTTATGCCTTTTACATAATCCTGCCAAGAACAAGCTAGCATCTTGCCGTTAGCATCTTAGGGTTGATCTAGAATTTATACAAACAGTAATATTGTTGGACAAACATCAAATGAGCTGGAAACCTTGCATCATTGCTCCTGACAAACTATGATAAAAAGAACCAAGTTTAATGACTTTGATAGATAATCAGGTAAGTATGGCATCATCCTAGAGAAAAAAGATGATGAGCATATTTCATATTTAGAGGCATTTTCAATAGGAAAAAACCATGATGGTTTCTTGCAACTATAATTTAATATGAAGCATATGTCAGAGTATTCAATCAAAGGCAACCGGGACATAGTTGAACCTTGCAGAAAAAAAATATCACTCTTCGATATGTTGCCCAGCTAATGCTATAGCACAATATCATGTATCCATCACCAAGAAAATCAGAACATCCACTCAAACAAATATATTTTTATCACTAGGTTATGGACTTAAGCGAACAAAGAGTAAATTTATCATCTCTAGATTGATCAATATGATTGTCATTCAATGGCTAGTAACAACTCTCAGCCTTAGTATTTCTTACTTGATACAAAATTGCTCTTCTAGTGTTAGAACCAATGACCTCCTCAAGAAATTCCTGCAATCATAAGTAACAAGAAATTCTATGAGTTGTTTTTTTGAGTGAAAAACACACACACATATACTGAATATCAAATTTGACCTTGTTCAACTCACAAGACTCTTAATTTGACATTGCAGACCACTAGTTTCGAGAGTTACGAAGCATAAGCTAAACTAAACCTCACTGTCATGACTCACAACCAAATACAGTTATCTGCAATTTCACATTCTATGTAATACAGATAGGGGTGTGATTATTGGATACTGCTTTTTGAGTACGCATCTGAAACAAATATGTTAAAATTTTTTTTTTTGGAAATGTCAGATCCCTATATCCATGTCCGAATATGAGTAAGACATTGGTAAATTAGGACAGATAAAGAGTTGAAGCAACATAGTTGATATTCACAAAAAATGATATTGTTAACAAAGAACAAAATTACTTCTGAGTAGTGCGTGTCTAAGTCCACTGCTGCTCTTTGCTCAGGAGTTTTTGCCTTTAAAAATCGAATTGCAATGAATATAGATTTCCGGTCAAGCTGCAAGAGAGTAAAACAAGTTAAACACCAGGTCTTGCAGATGTAAGATCCAAAAGTATAGCCAATGGGAACAGATTAACTTTCTATCAATAAGATAATTCCATTACTAGTTATAACTTATAAACAGTATAAACATCATCATATTGGATGATGACTGGGAATTAGCTGTTATGCTTCTTTCTCAGAAACGATGATATACCGGTGAGAAGTGACATCTGGAGAAACTTGATAGATCAAAGAAGTCTTTCTAAACTCAAAGAGGAACTGCTTAGCAGATTATGATAAACCTTTTTTTACTACAAATAATGGCTTTCCTTTTTCTTTTCACAGTTTCGTTTTCCAAAATTGAAAACTGATCTGCTATGTAGTGTCAAAATCTATCCTCTGTGTTCTACAGTTTAGCACATGATTCACTCTTAATCTTTACAGTTTCCTTTTAATTTTCTTAAGATGTGCTAACAATGGATTGGTATGCATAAAACTCATCAAGTTTATGACTAAATGAAGAGAAAGGGATAACTCAATTGCCTACTCGTTGTTTGATAGGACTAAATTTAGTAAACATCAATGCTGACTAATGAAAAAGAAATTGAAGACAATCCACGGCCTAATAGAATTATAGAAGATAAAAAAGATGCCTTTGGGAGACATTCAAAACCTCCACCCGTTACATTAAGTAATGCCAAAGAAAGAACTCTATCAGGCACCAATGCCGCCATCTTAAAAGCAATCATAGCTCCTGTTTTTGTATAACAAATTCAATCAACCTTTAGATTAAAAGAAAGATTACAATTTCTTGATAAAGTAAAGAGGAACAACTGGCATTAATACAAACTTAAAAGGTTGAAGGTTTTCTTTCCTTTCTGAATTATTGAATTTGAGCAATGAAAATTCCAATGAACTCACACACCCATAGAATGTCCAAAAACATGGGATCTCTTCCAGCCCAGATGATCCAATAAGGCAATTGCATCTTTTGCCATAATTCTCGTCCTGCACTCACATCCCGAATTTTTTTCTAAGAATTCACTTCCGGAAGTAAGCAAACGCATTACAAAATCCTATGCTTAATACTTAAACTAAAAGAAATTGACTGACTTTAACAAATTACGAACTACAGATTTCCGAGGAAACAGGGGAAGTTCTTTTATTGAATAAAATAATAAAACAGGAGAAAAAGACTCTGAAAGTCAAATCCAGAGACCAAAGTAAAAATTGGATGCAACAAAAACAAAACAAAGGAAATGACTCACGTATAGTCTGATTTTTTGGTGGGAACGGAGCTCCGGCCCATCCCACGATTATCAAAGGAACAAACCTCGATGCCACCGACCTCATTGTGAGCTCCGTCGGATTCCATATCAATCGCCGTGGCTTCATCGTCGTTGGGCCTATCGGTTCCGGCCAATCCCTTGATTCGCGGGCCCCATGAGTCGTGTGTCCCCACCAATCCTGGCCATTCATTCACCAAAATATCAGCTACCCAAGAACAACGAACCATTCAACAAACATTCGAAAATAAAGCCAAAAAAAAAATTCGAAAAAAAAATCACCTATGATTAAGAGAACTTTAGTAGGTCCATGACCGTAAGTCCGGTAATAAATCCGGATCCCATTGTTTAGATCTACGTCTTCGGTGCTCTGCGTCTTCCCTGTCTCGCAATACGGCACCGTCTTTCGAATTGAATTGAGAATTTATGCTCTGCGGAGAATATACAAATCTTTTGAAATAATATGAATTTAATTCTTTTTTATATTTATAGTTTTATTTATACGATCTCAGACTGAGATTATTCAGATTTATTCTTTTCCAGAATATAAAAGAAGATAAATGATTCTATCAAAAAAAATAAAAGAAAGATAAAAGAGAAGCTGCTCAAGGACGACGATACTTATAGGGTTTGGGGCGACGGATGGCGGCACGTGTTCGACGGCAATTGGTTGTCGCCACATTGGAGAGCTGGTTGGCGCGAAATTAGTCAAAGTCGTAATTTAGATCCTCTCCCATTCTCATCTCTACTCTAGAACATCTTTATCTCTACTCTAAAAATAAAACAATAATTCATCTCCGCCATTATCTTTATATAACTACCAACTTTAATTTATTCATAATATTTAATTATTATAATATTATTTTTCATATATAAAACAAAACATATACATTTCTAATAAATATCAAAATAAAAAATATTTATAAAATATTTATAAATATAAATTAATATGTATTTTAATGTATTTTTATTTATCTTACAATTTAATATATTTTAATCTACTTTAATCTAATTTAATTTAATTTAATTTAATCATTAAAAAAAATTATGTTTTTAAGTTTGTTGTATTTTTATGTATCAAAAAATTAATACATTTATTTATCTAATTTCAATATATTTTTATCTATTTTATAATTTAATCTACTTCAATATAATTTAATCTACTTTAATCTAATTTAATTATTAAAAAAAATATTTTGTAGCGTTGCTACAGTAACACGCTACATTAGCGTGAAACTGCTTGCCACGCTAAACTGGCGCTCATCTTTAGCGCAGCATTAGAGCTCTTACATCTCGTTCCTATTAAAGTTGGAAAGCACCGACCGCGGGAATCATGTCCTAAAGGTTATCAAACCGTACACGTGGGACACTCTACCAATAAATGATAATTTAAAGAAAATATTACGAAGAAAAAAAATATTTTTTTATAATAAAAAAGTTAATTTTATTAAAAAAATGAATTTTATATATTAATATACAATGTTAACATTACACATTAATATGCATCAATATTATTTTATACATATTTAAAATTTTAAGAACTTAAAACATAATTCATTTTATTTAAGATTAAATTTAATTAAAACAAGTATCTCCTCACGAGTCACGTCCCTTTTTCATCTATTCTTATTATAAAATATTATTTTATAAAAAAATAGGGACGCTTAGTTTAATCTGGAGTAAATTTTTAATTTAATTTTATAATAATATAAAATAATGAGTTTTAGAGGGTTGTTCATCTTAAAATAATAAACTTACAAATTATATTAATTTGATCTTAATTTTAATCAAATTAATATTTTAATTAGATTAAAATTAGAGTCAATTTGATAGAATTTATAATAACAAAAACTAAATGTGTACATATACCAGTTTTTCAACCCGTTAAACGATTAAGATAAATGATTTAATTGATATATTTTAGATAATTAATTGATCTAATTGAAACAAATAATATATAAATGATCAAATTAAACAAACCCCATATTTTGAGTGGTCATTAATGTAATTTATCCTCAATATAATTGGGTCGCGATAGTTTCTAACCTAGTGACCGTAATAATGAGTTTCGCTATTGACTCCCATCATCACTAGTTTAAATTAGTCCCGTAAATCATTTCCTTGTTTATTTCCACAAAAATAAAAGAAGGAAAAATAAAATCAGAAACGACGCCGTTGAGGCCTGTCCTCAATTAAAGTATCTCAACTGGAAGAAGGTGCATAAAAAACTTTGCAGCTCAAATTCGGTATGACTGCTAACATGAGAAGGTCCGTGTTCGTTTTCAGATTCTTCGTCTCGAGTTAGATGTACCATCAACGCTTGCATTTTCTCGAAGATTTTCCCCAGAAACAAACAGAAGATAACTGAAGGTACAATACGCGGAGACGAACAAATCTCGAGAGCAACGATTTACTGCTCTGAAAAGTGAAAACCCTAGACCCGATCCATGACAAGGAGCTGAGCCATCGTCCGGGAAACATTGACGAAAGGAACAGATTGAAATCATTTTGATTTGAAAGTTGAGAACCTTAAAAGGGGGAAAGTTTAGTAGTGTTTTTAGATGGACAGATCTAGATCCAAGAGGAACTATTACTATGACCAAGACTATGATGGGGAGACCATGGGTAGGACGAAACCTCGGTACAACAACCATCACTACCTCCCTAATAGTCACCGCCACCGTGGAAACAATCCCAACAACAATAACAACGGAGGCAATAACGGTCGACCTCCTAATAAAGGCAGTGGCGGTAGCGGCGGCGGGGGTGGAGGAGGACAAGACTCTTCCCTTATGGTCACCACTAGCTACCGCATTCTCTGCCACGATATGAAAGCTGGGGGTGTAATTGGTAAGTCGGGTAGCATTATCAAGTCCATAAGACAGCACACCGGCGCGTGGATCAACGTGCACGAGCTGATTCCCGGCGACGAGGAACGTATCATCGAAATATCTGACACGCGTCGCCGTGACCCTGAAGGGAGAATGCCGGCTTTTTCTCCTGCTCAGGAGGCGTTGTTCCTTATACATGAGAGGATTCTGGAGAGTGATTCGGAGTTTGGATTTGGTGGTGCCGGAGGAGAGGAGGAGGAGGAGGAATATGGAGCGGTGGTGAGAGGAGGAGGGAACAGGGTGGCGACGAGGTTGGTTGTTTCGAGGATGCATGTGGGTTCTTTATTGGGGAAAGGAGGAAAGATTATTGAGCAAATGAGAATGGAAACAAAGACTCAGATTAGGATTCTGCCTAGAGACCATAACTTGCCCCGTTGCGTTTCCATGTCTGAGGAGATTGTTCAGGTCTGCGACCAACTGCATTTGGATCTTGCATTTATTACACAAAAATTAGGCGTAATTTGAAAATACTAATCTTTGGGGTTTTCAAAATTTGATTATATGTTTAAGTGCAATGGCTTAATGGAATGATTGGGCAGTTAAATGCTTATGCACCAGTTAAAGAATTTCAGGTCTTGGTGAGCTGAATCCAAGATCTTGACCTGAATGAATGCTACCCGCGGATTATGGGAGATACTAATGTGGTTTCCTTTCATTGCCTTTTCCCTTAGAGAAACTTTTATTAAGAATCTAATACTAGTATATGACATCGGCAGTGGCATTGCCAGACTGCGGCTCTGGTAATCTTATCTTCATGTTAAACAAGTTGCCCTTTGCTGAAACAAATACCTATTCTCTGTTATTAAACTATAGATGCTTAAGGTTTTCAGAAGGTTCATTATGGAGTTCTTAGCTGGCATGTTGTTTCAAATAAGAATGGCTTCTTCTATTTTGGAATTTCAAATTCTTTGCCTTGTAGTCTGATTGCATTCCTGTGGGTTTTTTTTCAATCTGCTGAGTTATCAATTTTCAAGTTGTTGCCACATTCATGGTTTAATTTTCATCTGCTTTTGTTTCTGTAGATACTTGGGTTCTTGGGCACTAAAAATATGCACAATGTAATTTTTCCTTTCATAATAGCTCACTGATGGAATATTTCATGTATTTGAAAGCTATCAGGCTTTATAATGACGTTCTATACATAATGCTTATCTATTTTTTTAATGTATCTTCCTTATCAGATACAAGTTCTTTTGATTGTCCCATTAGTTCTATTAATTTTTAAATATAATTGAGTATCAATCATTCATATGAATGCTGCATAATATTATCATCTTCCACTTTATCCCATGTTTCTACTTAACCATATTTCTATGATTGCTGAATGCTGATAAAGCTGTTCAAATCTAGGTATTCTATGCAGGTGAGGCTGCAAATGGGTATAAAAGTTGGATATTTTAGATCCCTATATATTGAATTGTTCCCACTGTCCATAATGTATTGCAAAGAATAATGCTTCTGATGGTGCTATTTCTTATGGGATACAAGTTCTTTTGATTGTCCCATTAGTTCTATTAATTTTTAAATATTATTGAGTATCAATCATTCATATGAATGCTGCATAATATTATCATCTTCCACTTTATCCCATGTTTCTACTTAACCATATTTCTATGATTGCTGAATGCTGATAAAGCTGTTCAAATCTAGGTATTCTATGCAGGTGAGGCTGCAAATGGGTATAAAAGTTGGATAGTTTAGATCCCTATATATTGAATTGTTCCTACTGTCCATAATGTATTGCAAACAATAATGCTTCTGATGGTGCTATTCTTATTGGTGGTTTGACTACCAAACATGATTATTCTGGAAAGTTTTTTTTTGGTTTAACAATATCTATCTAAGCAGATTCAGTTTGAACTTCTTTCTCCCTTCCAATTTCCCTCTGGTGGAAGATACTGAAAATGGTTTTATGATATTTGTCTATTGTTGTTTGTTATGCAGGTTGTAGGTGATGCAAATGCTGTAAAAAATGCTATAGCAATTATTTCATCACGCTTAAGGGAGAGTCAGCATCGTGACCGCAGTAATTTCCATGGACGAATGCATTCACCAGAGTGGTTTTCCCCTGATGATGATTATATTCCACCGGTAAACAATACTTCACGTAAATCATCTATGGATGGTTCTTTTGGTTCTCGGATGTCTACTATGAATTACAGAGGCAACAATTATTCCTCCCGTCCATCTGGCTTCATTGAAGCTGGGACTGCTCCTATGGCTAACGGTGGACAACCTCTGTATGGTGAGGATCTTGTGTTTCGGATACTTTGCCCTATTGACAAGGTTGATAGTGTTTTTGGGGAGCCAGATGGCATAGTAGATTTACTTCAAAATGAAATTGGTGTGGATGTCAAGGTTGCTGATCCCGTGGTAGGGTCAGATGAGCAGATAATTACCATTTCTTCTGAGGAGGTACTTATCATCTCTCTATTTTCATTTAATAACATGTAGTCATTTGGGTGGATAGTTTTTTCTTTAGCCTGCTCTCTTTTTCTTTTCTCCAGCTGTATTTGGGTGATAAATTCAGTCCCTCTTAGCTTTTTGAATCAGATATTGTCATTTACAAGTTTTAAAGATTCTAAGACATTTAAAAATCGAATTCTTCATCTCCTCTTGAATTTTGAATTATACATATTCGTAAAGGTTTCTAACATATCTTTGGTTTTGTTTGTCCTTAGGGTCCTGATGATGAGTTGTTTCCAGCTCAAGAGGCTTTATTGCATATCCAAACTCAGATTGTTGACCTTGTTCCTGATAAAGATAACATAGTAACTACTAGGTTGCTTGTTCCATCAAGTGAAATTGGATGTTTAGAGGGAAGAGATGGATCATTATCTGAAATGAAAAGATTAACCGGTGTAAACATACAGATACTGTCGGGAGAAGAACTTCCTTCTTGTGTATCAGGACTGAATGACATTGTGCAGGTTTGCTACTTAGATACCTATTCCTGTGAACCAAAGAGATCTTAGCCTCTCAGTGTTAGTTAAATCTAGGCCGGAAGATTCAAACGCCCGATTCTTAACTTTTTCTATCGCTTGGCCATGAGTTTGTTAAGTTTAATAAATGATGGATGAGATGGATTTACTTTGTATATTCTGAATAGCACTTTGAGTTACTCTGCAGATTGTTGGGGAAATAAAGGCAGCTCGAGATGCTCTTGTTGAGATCACATCACGGTTACGCAGTTACTTGTATAGGGAATTCTCTCAGGTCCCTCCAGCACCACCTATCACTGCAACAACATCCATTGGGAATATTTCTCCAGACCTAACTCCAGCTCGTGATGGACAAACTGCCAATGACCATCCTGCTGGAGCCTATCAGAATGTGCCAACTCCAGCAACATCAAAGGTTGTACTTATGCTGCTTTCTTTTGATTTTGATTTTCCTTTCACTGCTTCATTCTAAGAACATGGTTATAGAAGTTAATTATTTTTTATAGGAAGTTATGAAATCTGGTGCGGAAACAGTGAAGCAGACTGAATCTGAACGGCGGGAAGATGTACCAAGTGCAATTAGCAGGTGGCTAAGTTTTGCATTATTTTTTAAGAAATTTCCATTTAGAGAATGAAGGCTCTTTCAATTCCCTTCCAGTATTTTTAAAGGCTATCCTAATAAAAAGTGCCTCTCTTGCTTGTAATTTTCTATTAGGATCGCTGTACCACTTGTTACTAAGAGTACACTTGAAGTTGTCATACCGGATTATGCTGTTCCCAAGCTGATAGCAAAATCGAAAAACAAACTGGCGCAGATCAGCGAGGTAACCATCACTGCTTTCAACTACCTATTTCGTTTATGTTTACTTTGTTTCAATCTAGTTCTCAAGTAATTCATCTCTTGGTGGATGTATTTGTGGTATAGTTGTCTGGTGCCAATGTGACTCTGGTAGAAGATAGACCAGATGAGGCGCAAAAGATCATTCAAATATCGGGTACTCCAGAGCAGTCCGAGAGAGCCCAAAGCTTGCTTCAAGGCTTCATTCTAAGCAGTAAGTTTTTCATTATCTTATTTGTTCGTTTCTTAGCCCTGTTATTGTAAACCGATGTCTCACTTGGCTCAACTGGTTTTTGATTCAGCACAAGAAGATGGACCTTAAACTATTCCTATGACTCGGATCTTAAACCGATGTTTCCATGTAATCCGATTCTCCAGATGTATAATTCTGAACTTATAATGAGTTGTTGTGCACTGTCATGTAGCCATAAAACAATGGTATGTCTTTTGCTTAAAGTCTGTCTTGAATTAAGAACTGTGGGGAGTGTAAGAGAGCTCCATTGTAAATTGTAACATGAGGAGTTACTCTGTCTTGTTGTTTTTCCTGCAGTGCTTCATTTTTTCCCCTTGAAATTAAGAAAGATTGCAATGCTTCTGTATTATTCGATTCGGATTAATCACGGATTAATCATTTAATATATTGAATCTGGTGATATAAAAAAGTTACTGCTAATATTATTTTAGAATAAAAACTAGAATTTGTTTACTGACAACAGAATCTTTTATATTATGGAAATATCGGGTCACGTAGGTCATATGTCTTACATGGAACTTGGCTGCTAATAATGTTAATGTTTTTGACATTACAACAGTTTGTGTATGGAAAAAGTTTACATAAAATCCTTAACTTTTTACTATTTGAGTTTACAGTACTCAACGTTTCAACACTTGTATTATTATTTTATAAAACAACTTAATTTATACTATAAAATTGTTTGGCTAAACTAACCTTTTAGTCACCAAACCATGGAGCCTGTTTTATTTTAGTCACCGAATTAAAATATTGTACATTTAGACCCTAATGTTACAAATTACTATCACTTGGGCTACCGCATTTAAATTGATAATGAAAATGCTAATGTGATTTTCATAAATTGATATAATAATATAATCATTCTTCAATATTTATACATTATAATAATTTAATCTTAATTTTAAATAATTTAATAAATTTAATCTTTTATAGTTATAAATTATATTATTTTGTTCCAAGAAAGTGTAAATTACACGTTTGGTAACTGAATTTTACTCTCCCCTATTTCACTCATTGTACTTTCAATTTTTTCAATTTACTCACTGAACTTTATAAATTGAATTTTTTTTATCATTTTGTCACAAAATAATTAAAAGGCGTTATGACATGACAACTTACATCAAAATGATTTTTCTTTGAATTCATGAAAAAAAAATTAAATTTTAGACTAAAACGATGTCGTTTTGATGACCATGTCATAATGTTGTTAATTATTTAACGGCGTAGTGACCAAAAAAATCAATCTATAAAGTTCAGTGAGTAAATTGAAAAAACTAAAAGTAAGGTGAGTAAAATAAGAGAGAAAGTAAAGTTCAATTACCAAACTTGCAGTTTATCCCAAAAGAACTCTTTACGTAACAGATAACCCAAAACACTTCACCCCATAACAGCCCCGAAACTTAATTTGTAAGATTTTTAATCTAATGACCAAAATATAATAAACCCTATAGTTTCGTGACTAAGGTGGTATTTTACCCAAACGCCTTGGATCTTTGGGTTCTTGCACACATTTTACACGCAGTAAACGGCATCTATATTTGCCGTTTCAGACTCTCGTAATCTTACCTTATATTCTTAGCTCAGGGCCATCCTAATCCTGAACTATCATAGCTCGAACAAAGGCATGGCGTTTGCAATTTCCAGCCCAAATTTCTTCACTGCTTCTTCAGTTTCACTGCTACTTACGTCGGTAAAAGGTTCACCCCTATTTTGTTTTCCAATTTAGTTCTCTCCATCGTCTTTGTAATATCAAATTTTAATTCATCTTTTTTGGGATTTTTCTCCCCTTGGTTTGGCCCAGGCCAGAACAGGGACTAATTCATGGCGACTCGACACGCATTTAAGCTCACAGGTTCTATATTTCGAAACCCATTTTATTTGGTACTCTTTAAAATTAACTGATTCTATTTTCATATAATGGGGGTAAGGGTAGGTAGATAGTAGGATGTGAGATCAACTTACGTGCGTTATGAATTACTTGATCCCATAACCACAAGGATGAGAGTATTGCGCTCTACCAACTGAGCTAGATGGGCCATTCTTTTATTTGTACTCTTTAATTACCCGAAAATATTTTTTTATTATTATTTTCCTGATAAATAGCTCTTTCCAGGTTGTTTGCCGGTCACAAAGTGAGGGCGGTGGTCGCCGTGTTTGGCGTCGGAGAAAATTGGTATATACTATATATTTTTATCTCTAAGTTTTGTTTTCTTGTGCATAGGATAATTTGTTGGGTAAAGAACACACGAGTTCAGTTACCATTTTATAACAGTTTGATGAATTTATTACCATTTTATAACTATCAAACTTTTACAATTTACTATAACGTGTAATAAATTCATCAAAATGTTATAAAATGGTAACTAATTTTTAATGTGTTATAAAATGATTATTAAATTTTATCGAAATGTTAGAAAATAGTCATTAAATTTATCAAACTTTTACAATTTATTATAACGTCGCAGTGACATGATGTAACAATTCGATAAGTTTGATGACCATTTTGTAATTTTGAAAGTTCAGTAGTTCGATGACCTCTTGTGTACTTTTTCCTAATTTATTTTGGCAAGAAAAATTTTGGTGTCTGTTAAAAATTGATAAGATGTTTGAGCATTCATCCTTTTTTTCTCAGTAGCAAATGTATAATCATATTGGAATTTCATGCTAACATTACAACTTAGAGACTGATTGAGTTGCATGTTGTGGGTTATATCTGCTCGATGTTGCTTTATATATATTGTGAATTAACTCAACATTGCTTGTATTTCACCAAAATTGTAATGATTTAGGAGATGAATTACGAATAAATGTTAGTTTCATTTGTACGTTCCCGTACACTGTGGAAATCTTCCGGCATTTAGGATCGAGTCAAGGTTGTTTATACTTGTCGAAACGAATTTCAAGCCATACCTATCTTTGGTCCTTGCTTCATATGGATGTGCTGTCATGGTGAAAATATTGCGCTCAATGGCATTTAGTTGCAATGTTTACGTGGAAGTGGAGGTTCAGTTTTCCTTGTGTCTGTTCAGGCGAAGAAGGATGAAATGTTGCAGTACAAGATGGAGCGGATTCCGTTCCTGGAGGAGCAGGTTAGGAAGATAAGGGATGGAGGAAAGCTGTTGACGATGGACATCGAGAGGCTGTTGCTATCCGAGGACAACCGTTTCGATTTTGTGAATGATGTAGCGGCTGAGGCCAAAGAATACGTCGAGAGTAACCGGGATGAATACGGGGGCTCAAAGAAAGCTATACTTCATGTGCTTAGTAACCGTGTCAATGATTCCGGGTTCTACCGCCCGGAGGCATATGCCGAATCTGACACTTTCAAGCCCGCAGGTTATCTGAAGGAAGAATTCACCTGAAGTTTTTAAGAAGGTAACATTTTACATACATATGCATATACAAACTATTAAAGGCTGAATGACAGTGTACGTTAAATTCAAGACTTATTGATGATTGTATTAATCAGCTGGCTAAGCTTCAGATTCATAATTTCTCTTTCTTTTTTGTTTTAATGGATGCTTGTTCCTTCTTGATTTAGGGTTAGTATTTGCAAGTTATTTGAATGAGGCGAAATGGGCCTTTATTTACTTTAGCTTTTGTTTCAGTAATAGCTGTTCGGCTCATGAAACCACATGAAGTGCTATCATCGAAAAGAGTGACGCGAATGAGATGATCTCGCTGATTAAGGAGTGATTATTATTATCAAAGGTTTCGGACTCGAGCACGTTGTCTGGAGAGGTGTTTGAGCATTCATTTTTAAATGGTTGAGTCTTTCGAACATATTCTACCTTGTAATCACTTCATATTAATAAAAAAAAATTATTTGATTGAGAAAATCAACACCTCAAAACGCTACCTGATAATTTTTTAAAGTTGACCTGACACAACAAAGCGTACAAATGTAGAAACGAAAAATTGACCCGAACTCTGTGGGTTTAACTTGACAATTTTTGAAAATTAAGGTTCAATCAAGTCGAGTTTGTGTTTATAATGAAAAATATCTAACCTGACTTATAAATAATATAATCGATCTTTATATATTTAAGTATAATTGTTATAGTATATATCTCTTTATTTTTTCGATGAAAATTTTATCCAATAAAAATGATATATATATGGCCGAAATTGAATGACAAATGAAAAAGTGTTACGCTTAAATCGGGTTAAAGCATAGATGAGCTGAATAAAGAGTGTGTTACAGCTTTGCAAGGTGGAGTATTGTTGAACGGAGATTTCAATTCTATTGAGAAGGCGTTAGGGGAGGCTCTTGAAATTGCTGATAAAAAGTTGCTAAACTGGTGAGCAAAATGGAGATATGCTTTGGAACTTACAAATATTGAAAATGGATTTCAGTTTAATTTTGTAGTCTTAATATAATTGGTTGAAGGATTAGCTGGTGTTTCATTTTGTTGAAGGCTTGAAAAGATTGAAGATGGCAACGATGAATCTGGTTCAACCGCCACTGTCATTTTAGATGGAAATGAAGTGATGTTCATTTCTCATGTTGGTGATTCTTGTGTGGTATGCATTCCCGTTCCTATTTCAGCTTTTGTATTACAGTTCTTATTTTAACATTAGGATCCTTAACACTAATACTTCTGGGTTTCCAGAGAGTAACACTTCGAGAATTAGACATAAAAACCTTTATTCTTTGAGTGGATTATATCCCTTTTTCATTCTTTTGTCAGATGATACATTGATGCAGGTTCTGTCTCGTGCTGGAAAAGCACAGGTCTTGACTGATTCTCACCGACCCTATGGGAGCAACCAGGCCTCTTTGCAAGAAATTAAAAGAATCAGAGAAGCAGGTGGATGGGTGTGTTTTTTCTTTTTAATTATTTTTCTTTTCTTTTTTCTGTTCTTGATTATTTTATTTTAAATAGTAATTGTATCACTGATCTTTCTTGTAGTAATTGTATCACTGATCTTTTTCGTACGAACAAGATTTCTTATATTGTGAGTTATATTAAAATATGGTCAGGAACTACAGTGCATCAAACAAGTTTGTCTTACTCACTCACACTGCTCTGATCATAAATCTTTTTGCTGTGATGTCCATATGTAGATTAGCAATGGTAGGATTTGTGGTGACATTGCTGTATCCCGTGCTCTTGGTGACACTCGATTTAAGACAAAGAAGAATGAGTTCGGTTCTTTCCTTGCTGTCAACTTAAAGTCTTCTTTCATAATAGTTTATGTTGAATACGTTTATGCATACATCATAATGATATTGGTTTGGACAATTTGCTCAGAATGCTGAAGAAGGGAGTTGAAGAAAGGAAATGGTCTGAAAATTTTATTTCCAGGTATATCTTCTACAGTTCAGATGCAGTTGCTTTTGTTCGGAATCAACTACGTGAACATGGAGATGTTCAGGTGATTTATACATTATACCAATCTTCATCACAAATAACTGTATCATTCTTCCAGTTTTTATCAGATATGCCTACTAAACTTGCAGATGATATTCTTACCTTGGTTTAATTGTAACTTTCCCCTTATTCCTGATTCAGGTAGCATGTGATGCACTTGCACAAGCTGCTTTGGTAATTTAATTGCGAGAGTAATTTGTATTTTTCAATTAATTTTACTTGTATACATGTATTTGCTGCAAAAGTTCCAGTAACCATAGAAATTTGTCATACCATGCAGGATAATGGCTCACAAGACAATGTCAGCATTATCATTGCTGATTTAGGGTATGCAGCTTTTTCTACCAGCATATGATTTCTGTTATGTTTGTAAAGCACTAAAGCTTAAATTGAGCTGACTGGACATCGTTTGGATTAATCTCTACCACATAACCTATGCTTAGCTATTATATTAGTCTTTAAATTAACCATTACCAACTCTTTGCCCTTTAATGGCTTATTGCAGCCAGTGAGCCACCAGCCGAATGACATGTGCAGCAACTATAAATCAAAACCGTATATAATTTTAAAAACTAGAAAGAACAGTCTTTGGCCCTTGTTCTTAGTCCTTTATTACAACATTAAAATCTAGGTAGCATGGGGAAACATAATAGGAACTACACAGAAATGAATACCGAGTGACAAAATGCTGTTGCTCTTACTAGTTTGTCTTAGCTTTAAAGTGCATCTGATCAGTCTTCGCTTTATGAATTTACATACCATTCCTCTGCCACTGTTAACTTTTATTTCCCCTTGGTTTTGACCATTGCTCAGGCATACCGAGTGGCAGAATTTGCCAGTTGAACAACAAATTTTCCTGTTTGAATTCGGACAAGCTTTAGCCACAGTTGGTGTCGTGTCACTCGGAATATGGTTGTCGTCTCAGGTTTCTTTTTGAGTTTATCAGTTGTGTACATAGAAATGAACGTAGAATTCGAAATGGTCTGTATAATGGGAACTGTATATGCTTCATTAATTATTACTAAATATATACCCATTACTCATTAAGAAAGTAACTATTACTCTCTCTCTCTCTATATATATATATATATAGACACACACACTTGGATCTTACTTTTTAGGCTTAATGTGTCTTGAGGGCTTCGAATTTTTGGGGAAAAAATCATTTCTATCTTTAAATCTTTTTGCACTCGGTTAAGATCTTAAACTCAGGAAATCAATCAATATGTTCCTTTGACGAGACCATCACATGTGGCCTTTAATCATCATTCTTCATAAGTGGATATTCACCAACACCATAGATTATCATCTCATTATTATGAACTGTTTCTGACTGCCGGAGGTCTTCCACGGAAGTTGCTCTCAAACCGTTGGGGGCAGCCTACTACCTTACCTCCCCTCACCCCATTGCATATGGGAATAGGGTCAGCTAATTTAATTGAACGTAAAAGGTTTGTAGATTAAATTGAATTCTTTCCCCAAAAGCTAGAGGACTTCAGAAATCATTCAACCCATTTTTTATAATCAGAAGAGGAATGAGGCTCAAACTAGGAAATTACCAGTACTACTTAACCACTAAAGCAGTAGGAGTATCAACATAATTGGATCTTATATACTAGTACTAGATTATTATTAAGTAAATATGAAGAGATCATCAGGGCTTGCCAGGTTTTTTCCTAGGGTCGTGCTTTGGGTTAGCGCCAGGATCATCATAATCCAGCATTCCACCTACCACCAACAGCTTCCTCGCTGCACTCATCTGGAATCCCATCATCTCCTTCCCACCCTTCATAACACACACATATATATATACACACACATACTAAATCAACACCATTTCCTAAACAAACCAACATAATCGAATTCATACCTACATTATCTGCAGTGCAAATCAAAGTCGATGAATACCTGTTCAACCGAGTATCCCGCCTGTTGAAAGCCTTGGACCATACCAAAGGAGAAAGGCATGAGGAGGAGCAAAAACGCCACAATAAAAGCCCTGAACCAAGAAGAAGAAGCTGCTGCCATGGCTGATATGTGGTTAAACCATGGGCAAGGGAAGCTGTGCTTTTGTATTGGTAGTTGAGGGTATGAAAACATAGCATGCATACGGAGATAATACTATGGTGTTGTTAAGGCCAGCCCAGGTTGGGTGCCCAGTTCCATGTCCCACCCAATAGCAACAGCGTGGTGCATCCCCCCAACCCCCACCCCCACCCCACAAAGTCAACTACACTGTTCTTCATATTGTTTGCATCACCAAATTGAAAAAACGCATGTGTACATTTGGTCTGCATTGCTCAGAGCCTCAGGTTTAATGTATCTTCTTGGGATATGTGTTTATCACTTTTTTTTTTTAAAAGAAATTTCAAATGTTCATCAATAGTCATCACGAACGGAATTTAAGATCAAATATTTAAATATTAGGAGGGGTAAAATATCTATCAAAAAATCACTTTCAAGGAGAGTAGTGGTTTATATCATCGTGTCAATGCAAAGGCAATTGAAAGGAAGTTAGTGGGCTAAAGATCCGAGGAAATCAAATGGAATGCATTTTGGCAGAGAGTTGGAATTTGGCGACTTCCATCTACTTGCACCACGACCATGGAGCACTGCATGCTTTCCATGTTTTATCTTTATGTGTATACGCCGTGTGTAACGAACAGTGGAAGTCATGAGTTATCGAAATTAAATTATAAACTTTAAGTGATTCAAAATACAATGTTACCTGTAACAAAAAAATTAATAATACAATGTTACCATTGTGTAAATCATATAATCTTAAAAGGGATTAAATTTAAGTCTTATTTTATTATCAAAAGGTTAAAATATAATTTTATCGATATACAACTTTATAACTTTTTTTTATTAAGTTAAGATGATTATAAACTAATATTTATTCTAAATACTTTCAATCATTCAATGCTCGTTAGTGCTCGAACTCATGACTCCTAAGAACAACAACGATTCCTTTAACCACTGAAGTAAATTAGTTCGTGCTATAATTTTAAAAGAATAGGAATCACAATGAATTCGATATCTATACTTTTTTAATTATTTAAATAGAAATTCATCAATAACTAGTTTGTTTAGAGGGGTGAGGTATTAGACAAGGTAGTATATTTGAATCTTAGTGCTGTTAATGAAAAAAAAAAATTAGATTAGAAGGGTTGTCCCATAATAAATCTATCCATCCGATAACGAATATGTTTAAATTTAATAATTATCTAAATATAAATAAAAAATAGCAAAGCAATCACAACATAAAATAAAATGATTATTCTAGTAAAATGGTGGATGTTTTTAGGTATGGACTAGAGGAGGATGTACAAGAATACCGCTCAAAGTGGCATATACTATTCATTTTGGATGCTTACAGTATAATTTTCCATTTTTTTTTTTTGGATTCCATCTCTCTGATTTATTTGAACCTCTTTCATTGCAATCTACAACCATGAAAGGCACTCATCTACTGAAAATGGATGGATTATATACATGGCTTTGATTTCATTCATTGTTTTAGTGTTTTTAATAATTTTTTTCACAATCGTTGAAGTTGGTTTTTTTAAACAAAACGTGATATAACTTAGGCAGGACGATCTTTTATGAAGGGAAGAATAATTTAGGAGAGAATGATACACTCCTAGGGTCTTTTACGGACACTTCTGGTCAGGATGATGCAGAATTTTATGTTAAAGAGAGTAAATTTATAAAATTTTAAAAGAAAAATGAACGGACTAAAAATAAATTTTCAACAGAAAATATAAAAAAATTCAGAGGACAATCATCCATGAGGCATTGAATGTTGTTCAACCTGTAGAGGATTGTCACAAAACCTCTCTTGCACTGCCTCCTGTCTTTGCTCCATTGCTCTTGAGCCTTAGACTTAATTAAACAGCGGGTCAAAGCTCATTTTCCGGGTTGACCCAACAAATTTAACTCATAAAAGAATAGTAACAGTGTTAAACGTGGTAATATCCAAAGCAAAAAGGCCAAAGGCCTCTCTTTTATATAAAAAAAAACAGTAATGACTGAGGCACACAGAAATAAGTTGCCTCGTTCATTCCGTTCCCAAAACTGTGATTCTAAATAGTAATCACTTTCTCTTGGCAGTGACAACCAAAAATACATTTTCAAATAACAACAGAAAACCAAAAAAGTATACCCAAAATGAAACGCAAAAACCCATGAAATTCTATGAATGCATGAGATCCAACAATTTGACTCCCAACTAAAACCAACAATTGGAGTTGATTCTAATGAATGCAATGCTGAATGTAGTTAATCCCCGACCCGACCCAAAACCAAGATATGTAAAAGAAGCAGAAGAGATTAGATGCCACCCACTGATGCATTTGCTTCACAGATATGCAGGCTTGGGCTTCAAAAATTAGGATTTCTAGTTTGACAACGGTGGTTAGCAGCACTGGAGATTTCTTTAAATGCTTCTCCACTTGGAACCGGATACTCAAATCATCCGTTCCATCAAACTAAATTTACTGGGAGTGGGAGAAGATCATGATAAGGCAAAACTCGATGCTCATCTTGACACAACCGTGTAAAAACAAGTGACCAAGCTACCTGACTAGTCGGTCATTCCAGCAAGTCACACTCCATGATCCCCTCCCCTGCTCCACTCCTTCAAGACCGAAAGATATATTCTCTCCATCCAGTTCATTGATGATGCTGATGCAGATGTTAGTGACAACATGAAGACGGATAACTTCAGTTGTCTGACAATGGCAACGACTTGACACATGCAACCCCAGACCCTCAACTCAACACACCCGAAAGCACGGACTTCTAAAAGAAAATAAACATGCTGAATGCCAACGTAATCAAACAGAAATGGCACGAGTAATGGCCAACTTGGCCCATTCAGCGGATTCTTTAATCATAAGGTCCTCTGATGACAAGCATTCATTCAAAAAGTCTTTGCTTGAGACGGATTGATGTATCATAGAACCAGCATGACTTCCCAATGTATCAGCTAGATCTCCAAGGACCCCAATGGCAGTTTTCATGACCACATCATCCCTATATAAGGAACATCAAAATAAGTTAATAAACCCATGTCGGAAGACATAATCATTAGTTAAAGTTTAAATGAGGTAACTTCTAATAGAACTCACATGTCTTTCTCCATGTATATGCCATCCAAAAACTGGAGGATGTAAGGTGCATAGGGAATCAACAGCCGAGTTTTGGGAGAGTTTTTAAACCCTTGGAAAATACCAGAATATGCCTCCAGAATTCCATTTCTCAGGGAGTTTGTGTACTCTACCAATTCATCATCACCTGCTATATGGGTAGACAACTCTGCAGCGCTTTGAAGTGCAGACATGGCCCACATTAGGTACTTTTCAAAATACTCTCCGACTGCCAATGCAATGTCACCAAAACATGAAAATATGGGAGGCTTCACAGAGCGATGCAACTGGTTGCTTGATAAATTCTTGAGAAGTTGAGTCATAATGCCATCACAGTAAGGCACAATTTTTTCCTCCAGTGCCCTGGAAATGTCACCCACAACACCAACGGTCACAGCACAGACCTGGTACTCCTCAAAATTCTGGAGACCCATTTCCAAGTACTTATAAAACTCTGGCATGTATTTTGCAAAATCTACTCCTGTCACATAAGCAAGAGCACCGATAGCAAGCATGGCTTCCTCATGTACAGTAGCACTCCTGCAAGCAAAAACCCTAAGGAAAAGTCCCATGATCTGATCTGCATGCTGCATGAACACATATTTGGTTGGTTCTTGTGAACCAAGCTTCTGAATAATAACTTGTAAACACCCACAAAGAAGGCCTTGCAAGTCACTCTGCTTTTCCCTTTCATCAGATGAGAGTTTCTGGCCCTCGAGGGTGTTATGAAGCTCCATCATGATGACAGGAACCAATTGCAACACCAATGGAGCTGTCTCATCAGTTGAACATCTCACCACTTCATTCAATGTCTCATAAGCAGCAGTCCTCAACCGGGATTGACCAGCTTCTTCTCTG